GTCTGTGTGAAGGTGTTGGAACTACTGGAGCTGGAGTTACAGACAGTGGTGAGCTGCCATGTGGTTACTGGGAATTGAACCTGGGTCCTCTGGAAGAGCAGCCAATGCTCTTAACTACTGAGCCATCTCTCCAGCCCCTTTCTTTCTTTCTTTCTTTCTTTCTTTCTTTCTTTCTTTCTTTCTTTCTTTCTTTCTTTCTTTTTCTTCTTGAAACTAGGGTAGCCTCAAACTCACAGCAATTTGCCTGCCTCCGTCTCCTGAGTGCTGGGATTAACTCTGTGCACCACCACACCTGGCTCTTCTTTTATAGGTATAATATTACAATTTATGTTTTAGTTTTTAACAATTTATTTATTTTTACCTTACATGTTGGGTGTTTTTGTCTGGAAGCCTGTCTGTGCACCACATGCAAGCCTGGTGACCATGGAAGCCAGAAGAAGGTGTCAGATCCTCTGGGACTGGAGTAAAAGATCTTGCTAAGATGCAAAGTGGATGCTGGGAAGCAACTCAGGGTCCTCTGGAAGAGCAGCAAGTGTTCCAGCCACTGAGCTGTCTCTCCATTCTACAAATTACAACTTTTAAAAGGTGATTTATTTTCATGTCAGGCGTAGTAGCAGGCTTATCTCTGTGAAATCCAGACCATCCTTGTCTACATAGTGAGCTCTAGGACAACCAGGACTATATAGAGTGACCCTGTCTCAAGAAAACAAACAAAAGAAATGATTTCTTTTAAATAATTTGTATATGTGTGTCTGTGTGAGAGTATGTATACATGAGTGCAGTTGCTTGAGGAGGCCAGCAGGTGGTGTCAGATCCACCTGGAGCTGGAATCACAGGTGGTTGTAATTCTTGTGACATGATTCTAAACTCAGGTCTTGTGGAGATGGGGTATATGCACTTAATCACTGAACCATCTCTCCAGCCCCTAAAATAAAAGATGTTTAAAAATTAAAAATTAAGGTTAGTATACTAAGTCACAGGCTTCACTGTGGCATTTTATAGTTGATGTCTGCTTTCATGTCACACGAATTTTATCACCCTCTCTTTTAACCCTATCACCACTATTTGAATATCCTTTTCAAATATTTACTGGTATTAGTATTTCTTTTCTAAGAAAAAGATCTTGGCTAAGATCAAAATCTTAAGTGATAGGGCATGCTGTTGAGGGTGTGGAGAAGGGGGAACCCTCCTCCATTGCTGGTGGGAATGCAAACTTGTACAACCACTGTGAATCAATCTGGCACTTTCTCAGACAATTGGGAATAGTTCTATCTCAAGACCTAGCTGTATCACTCCTAGAAATATATCCAAAATATGCTGAAGATTACAACAAGGACATTTGCTCAGCCATATTTGTAGCATCTTTATTCATAATAGCCAGAATCTGGAAGCAACCCAGATATCCCTCAGTTGAGGAATGGATACAGAAATTGTGGTACATTTACACAATGGAATACTACTCAGCAATTAAAAACAAGGAAATCATGAAATTTTCAGGTAAATGGTGGGAACCAGAAAAGATCATCCTGAGTGAGGTATCCCAAAAGCAGAAAGACAGACATGTTATGTACTCACTTTTCAGTGATTCTGTTGCTTGCCTTTGGGTCCCTTTCACATAGCTGGGTTACCTTTCTGGCCTCAGTGGGAGAAGATGAGCCTAGTTCTGCTTCAACTTGATGTACCAGGGTGAGTGGTACTCATAGGGGGGGCTCCCCTTCTCTGAGGATAAGGAAAAGGGGGAAAACAGGAGGGGTGTGTGGGTGGGACTGGGAGGGAAGGAGGGAGAGGGTTGCAATCGGGCTATAAAGTAAATTAAAACAAAGAACTGTTGGCTCAGTTTATTAGACAATTTGCTAACTGGATGCTTTTGATTTTGGGGGTGTTTATATTAACACTTTGTGTGTGTGATATGTGTGACATGTGTGCATTCCAGTGTGGGTGTGGTCATATCATGGTTCACATGTGGAGGTGAAAGGACAACTAGCAGGAGTCAACTCTCAGATTTCTGGGACTCAAACTCAGGTTTTTGTTTCTGTGACAAATGTGACCCATTGAGCCATCTTGGCTACCTGAGATTTGAAGTTTTAGAGTTCTTCATATATTTTTCATATTAATTCACGACAGGTAATTTGCAAAGATCGTTTTCTCAGCCTATAGGCTTTCTCTGATCATTTGGTGTGCTGAAACTTTTTTAGTTCTGTGTAATCCCATTTGTTAGTTTTTGGGGATTATTTTCAGTGCTATTGGTACTATTCAGGTAATCCTTGCCTATGCGTGTATTTGGAGGTGTTTAACTTGTTTTCCTCTGGAAGTGTCAAGGTTTCAGATTTTATGTTTAAGGTCTATGATCCATTTTGAATTGATTTTTGTGAAAAATGAGAGATAGAGATCCAATTTTATTCTTCTACATGTGGACATTCAGCTTTCTCAGCATCATTTGTTGAAGAGGCTTTTTTTTTTTAAACCAAATGAATGTTTTTGACATCTTTGTCAAATTTAGGTGTATGTACCCATATATGTTTATTTCCATTCTGTTCTGTTCTATTCTATAGAATATTCCTCTATTATATCCCATTCGTTTAAAAAGACCCAGTTCTCATAAAAAAAAATAGAAGACAGATTAAAAAAAAAGAAGAAAACAAAAAACAACAAATGCTGGAAATTATTATGGAGGTTTTTCATAAAACTAAATATAGAACTTGCATATGATCCTTCAAGTATTCCACTTCTGGGCATCATCCAAATATGGACATCAATATATAGTAGTGATACAGTGTATAGCCATGTTTTGTCATAGTTTTGTTCACAATAGTTATGTTAAAGAACCTATCTAGATGCCCATAAATGGGTAAAGAAATGAATGTAGTATATATACACAGTGGAGTTTCATTCTGCTAAAAAGAACAACAAAATTATGTTTGCAGAAAAATGGATGGAACTAAAGATCATGTTAAATAAAATAAGCTAGATTTAAAAGGACACATATCCCTTGTGTTTTCTCTCATATGTAATTTTTTTAAAAAACAAAACAATAACAAAAACAAGTGGGGTGTGGCAGCATTCAGCTTTAATCCAGCACTAGGGAGGCAGAGGAAAGTAGTTAAGAGTTTGACGCCAACCTGATTTACAGAGCAAGTTCCAGGACAGCCAGAGCTACGCAGAGAAACCCTGCTCAAAAAACCCAGACCTAAAACCAAACCAGCCAAACAAAAACAATCCATGAAAGTAGAAGGGAGGTTATTTGGAAAAAAAAGAAGGGGACCAGCAGGAGAGGAGATAAGAAGAGAATAGAAAGTGAATATGTTCAAAATATACGATATACATGTACGAAAATGTCAGCATTAAAGTTATAATTTATACAATTAAATACTAATAAAATTAAAACAAATATATACAGGCATTGGCATAGATTAGAAAGATGTAGGTAAAAGAAAGAAGTTATTACAGGGATTGGACTATGTATAGTTCTGCTTTGTAAAGGGTTTTATGATGTGGCTGCACTGGTTAGATGTGCTCTGATGAGGCAAAAATGACAATAAAATAGGAGAAATGGCTCTTTGAGACATAAATAATGTGCCCTTCTTTTGTCCTGTTTCTCATCTTTCTATGTAACGTCTTCTTTCTCTTTGCTATTGCATGTACTATGGCTGAATTAAATCTTGTATGCATTTGATCAGATGAGGAACTGCTTCTTAAATTAATGAATGAGACTATGTGTGATTCAGGGGGCCTAATTGCTGATTTGTTTTTTTTTTTAATGAATCAGTGTTGAAACAAATTCTAAAGAGAAGGGATTATGCCTCTTTTGTGGATTTCAAATGAAACTATATTAATATTAAAAAGTATATGTTTATGTTAAATATATTCCAGTGGGAATCATTTAATTTTTTTCTAATATTTATCATTTAAGAGAGCATTTTAACAGAAAATGAAGTCCTTGTGATGAGATCCAGACAATCAACCTGTGCTTAACAATCAACCTGTGTTTTATATCCCAAGCAAAATAAAAATTTCACTTTAAAAGTTCAATAAACAACTGCATTTTGTTTAGCTCTCATAGTCTCTGGTAATGTTTAATATGATTCAATAGCTTGGATCACAAAAGAAACCAATAATTTGCTCTTATCAGGAAGGTGAATTTGTCAATTCAAAAGGAAATAGAGAAATATTACTCAAAACAGTCTTTATATTTGAAAACTACCCAAAGCAGAGGCTATATCCTGTCCCAGGTGGTTACAGTGCTCAGTAATGATTTAGTGTGCTGTGTCATGTCTACTGTCACAATAGATCTATTATCATTTTATTGTAATTCCTTCCAAAGCCATTTCACAAAAACAACATACAGCCAAACAAAGATAATGGAGGCTTACTCAAGAATAGTCCTTCATCCTGTGAATTCGAATATTTATGTTAAGCATGGCCTGGTCAAATATTTTTTAATTAAAAATCAACATTGAATCAAACACTTAGGGATTAATTTTTGTCTCATTTCTTCTTCTTCTTCTTCTTCTTCTTCTTCTTCTTCTTCTTCTTCTT